GGGGAGGGAGGAGTGGTGTCGGTGTTGGACGAACAGCGAAGGGGGTAGTGGTAGTAGTGCGGAAGGGGAAAGCAGATGTCGTTTTAATTATGGGCAACGTAAGAGGCGCGTTTGCGGTCGTTGTGGTGGTGGTGGTAGTGGGGGGGATAGGTGGGGGAGTCATCGGTCCACTTATGCAGGTGTTGGCGGTCAAGGTCGGCATGGGCGGTCTGGTGGTGGAGGTTAAGGGGGGTCCATGGAAGGAGACATTATTAGCCTGATTTTCGTACACAAATTGAAAATTATTAAAATGAGTGAGTGACATTAAATTTACATCCCTACCTATCCGAATGGATGCGCAACATTCAGCCAAATTATTTACTTTTACAATGACACGACCTGTTATGGGAATGCGCTGCAATCGCGACGTCTTAGTTGCGCGGATAGAGAGAGTGTGTGGTGCCGCAGCCACTATAACCCAAGTCCCTTCAGTGTCGAGAGGAAAGACAAAAGGCTGTGTCATATGGTTTTCTTCGACATGACAAGTGCCTGTTGATGAAAACAAGGCCATCAAGCAATCTTGTGCTGATTGGGGGAAGCTACCTTCAATGGCTGTAGGGATCTCAGAGGAAATTGAAAGGTGGAAAGGATGATAAGGCATTCCATGTAGGAACGACGCCCTTTCGATTTTCCCAGGAATAAGTATTGGAATCGGAATGAATGTGATCCCTACACCATTTTTAATCATTGGAATGTCAATTTTAAGGCGCATAGTTGTCGTCGAAAGCTCGAGTGATCGATTGCCTAAATCATTGCAGTCAAGGTAAGAGTTAACTTCAAGGCTTTTGGTTAGGTAGGCACAACTGAATGACGCAAAAGATGGCACCTGACCGAGCAACAAAGATTCACTCATTAAATCGAATTCTCTGCTCAAATTAATAATACACAGCCAAGTATCAATTAAAACTCTTTGGAAGTACAGTTTATGGTGGTGAGGAATAATTTCAAAATTAATTTTCAGTAGAGAAGCGAAGTCCACACCGATGTAGGCTGGCAGGTGATGGATGCGGTGACACTCACCCAGCGAACCCACGTGTATGTCTCTGAATCGCCATGCAGTCCAGGTGTCCAAAGCTTCAGTAATGACTCTGCATGACGGGTGGGTGATTGAAGAGTTGGCGAATGGACTCACTTCTGAACACAGTCCGTTCGCCATGGCAACTTTTGTAGCTGCCGTTAGTCGTTCTATCTCCAGGAGAGTGGTCGCGAGGTTGATTTCCCAACAATGCAGGTGCGAGGCATAGATGGTGTGTTCAACTGTCATATCGACGGCGACTCCAACGATAGAATGATCCAGTTGAGTTATGTGCACTAGGTCGGTGCAGCGGGCGGCGCCTGGTATAATAAAAGGAAAACACATCTCGT